CATAAGAAAACAAAAGCATAAGATTTCCTACATGGAAACAAAAATCCTGTATGTGTTTTATATCTATACCATACATAGGAAAACAGTGTCTCCGTAATTAACCATGATTTATGGTTACTACATATCATTGTGAATTGTTTGCATCTATAATTGTTCTCAGTTTTCACTGCACATTCCCCTGTCCCATGTTTTTTTTTTCAAAATCAGCTTTTATAGTGATAAAATGGGATTAGCCCTGGACCTACCATATATGTCTTCTTTAGCGTGGGATATTAAAGTGAATTTCTATATGAATCCATCCCAAATGTCTATTACCCTTCTCCTTCCCTATGTTATCTTCCCAGGTTGAGTTCTGCTACATGATTCATCCTTGAATTTATTTGAGTCTACATATTTTCTTTGTTCCTATTTATTAACATCATAAAATGCAAAATAGACACTACCAACGATAATTAAAAGATGTAGTAAGAATATGACACCCTAGTTCACTTGTTTGCTTTTATTTGCTTCTGTGTTACATCAGCCAGAGTCTTGAATATCAAATTTCTATCAAAAGATAGCAATTCAAATTTCAGAAATAAAATAAAAGCACTAACTGGCACTGCACAAAAACTAACAGAGTTAATTTACTCAAATCTGAGATCAGAAATAATTCTTTTAAACCAAGGCTCTTCAAAGCTTAATAAAAGAGAAAGCACAGCTTTTCCCACATATAATTCAGCTTCAGTACTTCAGGTGGAAGCGAAGAAGAGGTCGAGAAGGAGGAAGAGAGAGCTAACAAAACCAGCAATTTCCTTTATGTCGGCTTTCCACCAATTTTATTGGGATGTAATCCTAAATTTACTTTTTATGAATTAAATTTGCCCTAACAGCTAAGAGGAGGCATGATAGACTCTATTCAAGGACAAATCAATCCAGCATTTAGTCCATTTGTTCTCATAAAGGCCAATGAGAGGTGTCAACATCTGGGCATGAAGATAACATTCCTTTTCTCATGTTTGACTATCACTAATGCCAAGAGAGCGAGAGAGGGAAAACACCGAGCAAGCTGTTTTCTGGTGAGTATAGAGAATGGCTTTGAAGGACAGAGAGAAGAACCACTACCAAGGCGAGAATCAGATAAATTAGACTGGTCTTTGAAAGTATGTTACAAAACGGCCTCAGACAGCCTCCTCCCTTGTCCCTAGTTAATTCACATGAAGTTAAAAAAGTGAGGAAGGAAAATACATTGACATTTACGAGATTCTGTGACTATAGCTGTTCTAATAAAATTAGCTAAATGTCTATACTGAGTCCGTTTGTTACTCTGGTCTATTTTACAGGGTTTCTTCATTACGTAAGAAGAGAAAGGAAGGGAGGGGATTTTTGACCTTCTCCTGCACTTACTAGATGCCTTTGGCAGACAAAAAAGAAATGGAGAGGTGCCTCTTTCTAAATCTGACTGATAAAATCTTTCTCTCAGCTTGTTTACCATGCTTGTTTGTTCTCTTTCATTCATCACATGGGAAATAAGGAAGTGGGATGGAAGGAAGATCTTTTCCCTCCAAATTTTTCTCATTTGTTCCTCTTTACCCATTCTTAGCAATCAGCACCACCACCAATGTATTTCTTTAAAAAAATACCCCACTTTGTCCTGGTTTTCACACAGCTATTTTTTGCTGCTGTGAAAATTTGACATATAAGACTCAATGGGCTTTTCATAAACATAAAACTCATTTTACTAGTGCTAATTATCTTGAAACAGAAAAAAATGCTGTCTGAGGATATCTATGTCCCCAAAATGTGCTTCATTCATTACATTTCAACTTCTGGATAGGACTGTATTGAAAGATATATATGTAGAACCTAACTGAAATTTAATAAAACTGGAAAAAGAATGACCAAAAACATTGCTATATTCAACATAGAGACCAAATTATACTGAAATAGTTACACAAAATATTTTTAAAAACTTGTAAGGCCCTTCAGTTAATTCCTACCATTTGTTTTATCTATGACTCCCACAGTTTTTGTGGAAGAAGAATAAAGAAGAAATATTGATGTATAGCCATTTTTTTTGCTACTTTGAGTAAACCCATACAAATATCTTAGAAAGGTAAAATAAGAAAAACACACCCAAGCAAGACAATGACATTTCAACACAAAATACAAATCCAAACAGCATAAAGTTTAAATATATGTAACAGGAACTCAAGTAAACCAATCTGGCATAGGTTAACAACTTCATTGGCTCCATCTAATAGTCTAAACCCCTCACATGGAAACACATGTGAAAACTTGGCAGGATTGGGGTCATCCTCATTTTGGAAGGAATAGTATCCAAAGAGTAGGCACTGGACCAAAAGAACACATTTTCTGGGTATGGAAAGATGGCATTACATAACCAATGGGACCCTCAGCATGTCTTCCCTGCCAAGCCAAATGGGATGGACAGAACCAACTAGAGAGAGGCAGTCTTGAAAGTAACCCAGCTCAATGACAAAATCCTTTCACAGGAGACAACCACACCTTGAACTGTAGAATCCATGGAGCTTTCTGCAAGCAAACAACAAACTCAGAGAGTACCAAGGATTCCACAGTTCAATCCTGAGCTACTTTTATTCTCTTCCATTGGCATCTTGAATTGTATCCAGAAGCATATTGGCAGCCAGTGCAGCTCACAGAACTGAGGTGCAACGTGAGAGCATTAAGGGCAGCCCCAGTTAGAGCATATTGCAATTATGTATTATAATCCATTTAGGAGGTGATCAAGGCATGAGTGATTGTGAGCAATGCCCATTGGTACAGGAAATGGATTATATACAGATTCTTGGGAAATTATTAATGATATCCTATTTTAATTATCATTTTATTATCAATCCAATGTTGTGTTGTAACTAATCAATTAAAGCTTCCAGCTCTCATTATATCTCTGCTATTACTATCAGGGATAAAACTTTCCTATATTTCAGTGGTTTAACTACTAATTTATTACCACCCAGAGTCACCATGTAGCCGCCCAGATTCACCTTATAAGGGAGATAGGCAGCATAGAAATTTAATAAATATTAAATAAATAAAATATTAAAACCACAATACTTACTTTCACGAGTCACTTGCATTCATGTCTAAAGGTACATCATAGGTTTTCCTGACTGCTTTCTCTTTTTCTCCTAACTCAATTCAAGTTGGCCACTTATAAGACTTAGGTGCTATATTGATTTATTGATGTTGCTCAGCAATCTCTAATTTATTGGTCTTTTAACACTTTTGCAGTTTGATGAATAAAGGTAAGGCACCTTTACATATTTTTCATCCTCTGATATTTATGCCCTTGATTTACTGCCTTATTTTATTTTATTTTCATTTTCATTGATTTTTGAAGTCATTTAACAACCACTTGAACCCTTGATGTTAAGTGAAGCAAACAGTTGCTTAGCAATAACATTAGGAACAATAGACTTGATGAATGATGATATAAAAAGGTTAATAAGTATAGTTGCATAACTGTACCTTAGGTTTGTTGGGCACAAAAGAATAGAATAAACCATTATTTGCTCATCTAAGCCAGTGAAATGATTGCTGAAAACTGCAAGTTTTTCAGAAGTTCAACATGCTTGACAAATGAAGAACGTTTTGTTGGCAAATCAGGATTTTATAGATACCTTGATACCTCTACATCAAATCAGTTAATTGTTAGAATGTTAGTTTTTTGAAACAAGGAAAAAAGTATTTCTCTTAAATGCTGGAAGGTCTACAATATTCCACTGGAAGTAGATTTCATAAATTTGAATATATAAACTTTTCTGCTCAAATATACTTATGAAGTGAAGAGTCTATAGAAAGTTTTGCTGCAGACAAAGTACCATACTAATTAAAATTTCTGTTTGGTCTACAGTATATGTATGTATTCTTTGAATGTATATGTAAGCATTTAAGGAATACATTCTTATCAATCCAATTCCCAAAATGATTGTATGACCCAGCTGCAATAGTGCCTTAGTGCATCAACTTGTAATTTCCATAATGAATATTCTGAATATTCCTTGTGACCAGTTCCTAGTAATAATCTATTATAGGCAGTCCTTGACTTACAACTATAATTAGGAGCAGAACCTCAGTCATTGTGCAAAGCTGTCATTAAGTGAGATGTCCACGTGACCACTTCACTTTACGACTGCAATCCTGAAGATCCAAAGTTTGTTTCTGCAACCTGCTGTGGGATTTCCCCTGCCCTCCACGTGTGGGAGAGAACTCCTCCTGTGGGCTGCAGAAATGAAGCTTGGATCTTGAAGATTTGACCTTCATTCCTCTAGCTTGACAAAGAATTTCCCCATCTGTGCACAAAGGAAAGGAAAAAGCAGCTTTCCTGCTAGCTTCCTCATTGACTTTTTGGGGAAGCCATCAAAAAAGACTGCAAATGGTAATCACATGATTGCAGGGCATATGGCAAACAGCTTAAGTGAGAAGAAGCTGTCAAACACCAAGATCATGATCAGATGACCGTGAGAAAGAGATGGTGACTTTTTCAAGATCATAAAGCACTTTTCTGACTTCCAAAATGCCAGTCATTAAGTTGAGGATAACCTGTATTATAAATTTACATGCCATTTCAATTGTCTTATATGATTGTTTTTCTCTATTCAAAACCCCTACACAATTCTTGTTGAACAGATTATATTTAGATACAGAGCTTCACTATTTATGAAAACTCTCCTTATTGTATTAAGGCAATTTCAATTTTGGAAACATGGAAACATGGCAATTTGGCAAAGAGCTTGGAGATCTTCTATAAATCTGTTCAACAAGAATAGTCACATAGGGATTTTGATTCAATGTGCAAGAACTTTTGTGATTATGGGAAGAAATCTGGACTTAAGGCAATAAGAAGTGAAAAAAAGCAGGCATGTATAGACAGAATAGCATGAACTTCAAATCATGTTTAAGTAAACAAATATGACAAGCATTAAGCTTGTTCAAAAATGCATATAGCACAACTATCCCATCCAAATATATCTTACTTTGCTCTTTTGGCCATTTCATTGCCATCCCATCGTGGACTATAGGGATAGTTTTTCTGGGCTTGAGAATATAGTTCTCCACTATTCGTAAAATGATAGACAGACTGAAACGTCAATGTTGGCTGATCTCGAGGAAAGTACAGTGGCAAGTCAACTACAAAGAAAAAAGAAAAAAATACATTAGTGATTTGTTTTATTTCTTGATTTCTATCATCTTATATTAACAATATGCATGAAAACTTGTATGTTAAAATATTTTAAAATTTAATAGATGTTTAAAGGATGCTCAATTTACAGGCCTTTCAATTTTTGTAAAAATATTCAATCATATTTTTGCCAGATTTGTAGCACAAAAATGAAATGGACAGATCAATGTGAAGGTATCATTTTAATAGAGATCTGTTTAAATTTGAAATGTTTTTGAAACATGCTAAGCATACTATAACAAAACAAACCACAGATTAAAAGATAACTAGACAATATGATTTGCTGTCTGCATATGTAAAAAAAACATAGCTGGTGATAGAGATGAGCCTACCATCTTAAAGATGTGAACTGCTGGGGTTTTTTATATCAGATGGGCCTGAAGTATTGTATTTTTAGCTTTTGTACATGTCCACCAAGCATGGTATAATGTCCCTTCACATTGTTCATATTTCTAAAATACTTCTCAAATGCCTTAGCATATTCTAGATAATTTCTCCAGACTACAGAGTTACTTTCTGAGAGATAAATAAATCCAGCCCTTCCCAGATTATACCTCTATACTTCAACAACAATGGGCTATTCAGCTATAGTTCTTACTCATTCTCCTTGCATATTCAGTTTCTTTACAGGGCTACAAGGTTATCTTCATCACTTTATTGCATGTGGCAGGTAATTTTTTATTATTACTTTTTGTTGGTGTTCCTGGCACAGGTGATCAAAGTTATGTTAATAAAACATTCTGAGTTAATTTAGAATGCTGGTGCATAACATTAAACCAACCTTAGGTTTACATAATTATCATTACTGTATTCGGTTATTATAGATAAGGCTTTTTTGAAATAAGGGAGATATATTATTTTGTTCGGATTTGAATGAATTTTCCCAAGAAATATTTGATGTGAACTGAAAACAACATATCAACCTAATTTTTTATTTTCTTTATAATTAATTTCTGAATTCACTGTTGTAATACCCAGTCTGAATATGTTAATATGATGACAACCTATAATCATCTTCTATTCAGTGAAAAAATATATTTTATAAAGCCTTAGGTAGTGTTTTTTTTTTTACATTTGTGTGGCCCATGAGACATCTGTTCCAATGTAACACTGCAAATAATGAAATCTTAAAAACAAAATCTTGGATCTATAGAAATTGGGGATTAGGTTCCAGAACATATGATTCTCGTCTTCCTCCCACAAGCACTTTTTCTCTCTTTCTTCTGTTGTGGTTGTCTGTGTGGCATAAGATGTCTCTGGGTCTGTCCAATTAAGAGGTTCCATGTTACTTTCCTGCAACAGTTGATTGATAACAGAAGGATTCACCTTACTCACAGCTAGCCTGTCATACTAACTTGTCTACCCTAAGTTCTTTTACAATTTTGGAGGAGAGGCTTCTTGATCATGTGACTGGACACTACTGCTATCCATAGACTGATTGTGTAATGCTCAATTAGCACAAATGTTCAATGAGCAGCTAGCGTTTGCCAGCAAAATTAAGAACTGGCTGAGAGTAGTATACAGTACTGATGTCCGGTGGTACAAGTGAATGGCTCACCCATCCAGAGCTGTACAGAGACCCCAGTATATGTGGCATGATCAATTTGATCAGCCAAACAACCACTTGGAAGAAGGCAGCCAGCTGTTGTGAGGAATATGGAACTCCACAACTGGCAAGTTCAACCATGACCAAGTGAAAAGATCTACAGCTTACAATCACAAATAAAGTATCTTACAAATAAAGTATCTTATCACATGGAAGCCCACAAGTCAATGATATCCATGGTGGTGGTGATGGTGGAGGAGGAAGATCAACAACAGCAGTAAATATAGGCATACAGACAATCGTCAAACTGTTGGCCTGACCAAGCTGGATGAGTCATGGACAGGTCATGCCCAGCCCAGCTCTGCAAAGGGAAAAATGTTGCGATACATCATGTGATGGCAATGTGACACAGCGAGTTTGACACCCGTGATCTAGTCCTAACCCATAAAAAGCATATTTATCAGTTGTAAAAAAAAAAAAAAATCCTCTCTACCATTTTCTACCAAAAAGAGCCAAATCAATAGTTAGGAAAAAACATTTATAGATCAAAGTCTTTCATTATCAGTTGTGGATAGATAAAACAACAGATAATGACACTATAGATGAGATCAACCTGCTTCGCAGCAGGTAGGGGACAGGGAGAAGGCAAAAAAGGAGATAAATAATATTAAAAATTCAGACCCACAATTTATAATGGAACTCAAGAATTCCAATATTAAGAAATTTATTGGCAAAGATAGTTGTCACAAATCTTTGTAGGTTCTCCCAGGTTCTGATAGACATTTTGCATTTTATCTTTATCTTTTATCTATGCCAGCATTTACTTTCCATAAATGTGACTATATTTTTCTTTCAAGTTCAGGATTACAGCATGCTATGCAAAAAAGTTATTTCCATATAGCTCAGAAATGTAATTTGAACTCAAAAACATATTCATAGGTGGTTACACTAAAAGATAATGTGACTTGATAATTTTATCCAGTAATCATGTATATATAACAAATATTTTGTTGGTCTATATGCACATAAAACCATGGAAAATGTATCCTTTTTTTGAGACTCGATAAATAAATTCTACTACTAATTTATATTTGGGAACTTAAGAATCAAATTCTAATATGGATGGAATTAGCTGATGTAAAATTTAAAATTCTAATTAAACATATGAAGTGTAAATGCATTTGGTTAAGCACAAACTCCATCTGGTTAAACACAAAATTACATGGCTGAAATTGTTTTAAGAAGGAAAAGCAAAAAAATAAAAATAAAGTGCAATAGTAAGCTATTTGGGAATTAGAGTACGGTAGTGTCCTGAAATGGATTTCCTGATGGCAGATTAAGGTCCAGCTTCAAAAGAAAAAAGATCATAATTTCAAGAAGGAAAGGGACATTATTATCCAACTCGGCTAGGGGACAGAAATGACAATTAAAAATTTAGATTAAAATACCTACTGTTTCATTCTTGGCTAATGAATGACATAATGATGCCATTATCTAAAGTGATTTATCATTTAGCAATTTGCTTTTGTAGCATTCTTTGAAAGTCTAAAAAGCAAATCTAAAAGATCTGTTCTGCTCTCTGGGGTCAACACAACCTCCTAAAACCTAGTTATAGTTTTGAGGTTAGGACTTACTTTGTTATTTGCCCTTTGTAATTAAAGTTCATAATTTCTTTTACATGTTTTCTTGTTTTTTAAAAAAATATTTTTCTAATACACTGTATATTTCTTAAAAGGCAGATGAATAACTAAATATAACTCATATAAAATAGTGAAGTAGAATAATAAAACTTCAGTAAAGGTGAGTTAATATCTGTGGTGTTATTTTCATTTTTTTTACTGAAGAATCTTCGTTTTCTTGATTTTTAAGTATCTGACCAACTTAAGGTATTAATAACATGTTTTAAAAACTTTTGTTCAAAAAGTCAAAAGCTTTCTTTTAAAAGCTTTGTTTTTTAAAAGATGTAAGTACATAACATTGAAGTCAAGTTTAAAAGCACAATAGAGACAAGACTGTTAATTCATAGAAGCTTTCATTTGCTATGATTAGCCTTTGAACAATTGTGGCAATTTTCTGCATAGAGGAACTATTTCAAAGACAAAGGAACTGGGAAGAAAGTCTTCCAGTTAACAGGACATTGTAAGAATTCAATTATGGGTAGGTATGGATAGTTAAGTGGACACAATTCAGTTGTTTCTTCCCTACTACCTCCCTCCACAACTCACCCACTCTCAGGAGTGTCTACAAGATATGATAAAAATAGATAAACATCATATTGCCACAACCGTGTAATCAAAACACCAGATTTATTTTTTTGTATGTTGCATATGCAATTAATATAAGAAACAGGAATAGTATAGCTTTTAATGGCCATGTTCACTTTTTAAAACACCAACTCCATGACTATCCCTGTATATGCTATGATGTTTCTGCTCACTTGCCCCGGGCACTTTGCATCTCTACCACCTTTTCTGAGGACTTCGCTTCTTCTGACTTTAAACCAAGGATGACTATTTCTCTTCTTAGTTCCAAATGATATTTTTCAGTTTTTTTCCTCTTGCCTCATTAATTAAAATGTACTTAAAATATGCCTAGTATTTATTTCAAATATTTGCCAGAAATCTGTGGTTGCTGGAATTCAGCATGTTATAAATATGATAATTAAATATATAAATGAATAAATAACTTAATTTATACAAGCATCTATCCTTTGAATAATTCAAGATGGTATATACTGTATGTATGTATGTATATGTATACTCATACACACCATCTTGAATTTGATATATCCACAGACATATATATCCAGCTTTCATTTATTCTAATAACCTACAGTATAGGCTCTGTTACAGTACTAGATCACTGACTGAATTTGGATCTCTTGTAAACATCATCATTCAAATTTATCAAGCTTTATCAAGTACATAAGCAAAAAAAAACCAGGTCCCTCCCAAAATTTCAACACAAGGAGGAGCAGAGGAAAGAAATGCAGGGGGAAAGGCTTGATGTCGCAGTGATACGGATGGACAATCTTGGGGCTCCAAGACTGCCGCCGTATTCTGGCCGCTGGGTAGTCCAGTCTGGACCTAAACTGTCCCGAAGAGATGGTCACAGGAAGGGGCACATCCTGTCGAGCCAGGAGACATCTGCAAAGTCTCTGGTGATCCAGGAAAAGCCCCTTTTGCTGGCGGCTAAGGGGCAGCCATAAGGTTGCTGAAACTGCAGACAGCTCCGTAATGCAAAGGGCAGGAGAGAAGCGTGTCGTTTTGATGTGAGTTTTACATTTTTTTTCTATTTGAGAGAACACCCTAAGTGAAGAGAATTAAGTTAAAAAGAAGACTGATGAGAGAGTAAGTGGCGAACCTAATGCATAGTTAAAGTGAATGTTTCCTCTTTTTCCCC